ATAAATTAAAAATTTGCATTTTATATGCATTTCAATTTAAAATTAAATAAATAAATAAATATAAATAAATAAAGTTTAATGTTGGCCTTTCTGAGGGATGTTACACTAAATTTCATCACACTGCATTGTTTGAAGTTGATCAAATATTTGCTCAAACAACAAGTCTGGGTAAAAAGCGAGAAATGAGACCAAAGCATGAGGGAAAAACGGACGGTTTTATACTGTGTGCCAGTTTCCCAAATCAACCAGTCAGCCCAGCAATTGTGGTTCACTGGTGCGCAAACGAACCGACAACAGACTCAAGTCACACTGAAAGCTCTGATAAGATATGCCTGACATTCTGTGTCATTAACTGCATTAATTGTAATGTTTTCTGTCTGTTCATGCAGCCCTCAATATGCTTCTCATTTGAATGGCATACTAGTGTGTCCCATAGGACTGGCAGGTTGAAACACGCAGGGCGTCTGTGAGAGAGACTTCAGATCAGACTGAAGCTGCAGTCGGCTGTACTGAAGCATTATCAGTCCAATGACACTCTCAGAAGAAAAACAAAAGAAAGATGAACTCACACATCTGTAGATTAACATTAAAGCAAAGCATATCTGAGGAAGTAGTGAATCCGTAACCTTTTAGCAGTGAAGGTTTTTGAGGTAGACGAAGATCTCTGAGGGATGTGGCACAAGGACTGCATCCTAATATGCACTACATAGTCTGCAAAATGAGAATCAGCGCATCCTGGACTACATTGCGTTGAAATGAGTATGTTAAAGTCTGCATGAAACGGAAGTTGTGCTATTCTTTTCTTTCCTATATTGACGTACGAGTGAAATGGCTTCTGGAACAAGAACAAATGTAGGGCGGGACTTGATTTTGTCAATGGGGACATGATTGGATGGTTGTGGTTTGCTATTGGTCGATGTCATGTGAGTGACAGGTTGTTCGTGTCGATTTTGATTTCATGGTAACTTTAAAGGAACTCAAATGCATTTTAAAATGTGCATCCGTTCATGTTTTTTTAATACACAACAGGAGTTTGTGATGGTCCTTCAGAAAAATGAAGAGGACAGAGCAGCAGTTTTTAAAGCTTTTGAAGAGCTGCTTTCAACTGCACACATGCTCTGTTTGCTTGAATAATTGAAAAACCTGAAGCAATGTTTAATTAGTAAGAAACATTTGAAGAGTACATGTTCAGTTTAACATTTTAATACTCATAGTATTATTGTAGCATATTCATTTTTGCTGTAGTAATGAGGAATGGTGCATTCTTTCAGTATTTAAAAGCTTTTAGTATGTACTACTGACATCTTGGTATGATGACACCCCTACTTAAAAGTACTACATATATATTTCTGTTTTAAATAAATGCAAACATTTTGAACTCTCTGTTTATCAAAAAGTCCTATATTATGGTTTCCATAATGATGCTGAAAATTCAGATATGATCACAGAAATAAATTACATTTTAAATATATTCAAATAGAAACCAGTTTTTTTAAACTGGAATAATATTTCATAAAATTACTGCAGCCTTGGTGAGCCTAATAGACCCCAACCTTTTGAACCGTAGAGCACTTTCCCATGAACTATACTATTAGTATGCAGTATAAGTGTGCAAGTAAGGATGCAAACACAGAAATCACACGGGTACTGACGCCTATGCAAACTGACCATCTGGAAACAGCGTCTGAAGTGAAACTCGCACTGCATCATGTCAAAGAAGATGGCAATCGTGGCTTTACGCAGCTCGATCTCCGGAACCAGCGTCATCTCCAGGATCGGACCCACCATCTCAGGGATAAACTTGATCTTGTGTGGACCTGCAGGATGTTCAGAAGAAACAAGTTAGTATGCCTGAATCCTTGAGATTGTTTATTTAAGATCTTTTCTGTTAGTTTTTTGGATCTGCTTTCTGTTTGTGATACTTTTGCCGGCAGGTGCACCAGCACAGGGAATATCGTCTCTCCGCTGCCTCCTCGCAGTGCCTATTTGTGTCTAACAACAACTTTTATGTATTTTTGTGAGGTGTGTATAACTTCTATTTTGGAGGCAGCATTTCTAAATCTCTCTACTTTCATCCGTGCTCTCCTAATCTTCAGAGTTTCCTGCAATCACAACACTGAATAGAGGCAAACATCTCTGATTCTCTGGTGTATGTGACTGAACCCGCTATCAAACGCAGCAAGCTAATGAACAACCAAAGACTGCTGAGAAACACGTCTACCGTGAGGTGGCAAACATTTATTCATGGAGGAGTGTGGGAACTGAAAATACTTTCACAGCGGTGCTTCCTCAACGGTCCTGCCACTAATTAGCACCTTCACTTTCGGAGCATTTCCGTTTCCACGGCTCTAAATAACATCATGGTCGAAAAATAACCCGCTTGAAATCAGTGCTAAAACTGTAAGCAACACAAATGTGGCAGACACAAGCTGTACAAAAATAAATGATCCCAAAATGATGCTATGTGAATGCTGGGAATCCTTTTAAAGATGCAATGGTTTTTAGGGACATTAGCCCTTTTACAAAAAAGCCACAGGATTTAGAGCACCGTGAGTGAAAGACTATCAGTTTTTAAATGTGTACTATACCATTAAAAAGTTTGGGGTCAGTACGATTTTTGAAATAAATGCTTTTAATCACGATGCATTAAATTCATCAAAAGTGACGGTCAAGACGTTTACAGGCAGACATGGCTTTCTTCCATTGCCGTCCAGTCCTTTTTACCAGGTTTGTACTAAGTACTAATGTAGTAAGACATTAAAAGACAGTTTAGTCTTTTAATATGTAATGATATTAAAAGACTAAATTCAATATACACATTAATGATGATTAATGATGATGCATACGCAAGCAGAAGAGCCCAGAACATGAACGCAACCCAGTTTCCCGTTAAGCAGTTTTCCATAGAAAACCATTATAAATAAAACACTTATGCACATTGCATTCATATTCTGGGTTCATCTGCTCGCCTGTATATAGTATGCATCATTAAAAAGGTGAATAGAGCATTTTATCTTTTAATATCAGTGTTTTAGTACATTAAGTCACTGCAAGTGTTTTCACATTACATGTTTTAGAAGGTCCCACTGTTTTAAGTGATTTAAATAATGTAACAGGTGCTGTGTATGGATCAAAAATGCCCAAAACTTGCATTTTAGTGACATATTTTTGTTTTTCTTCTTCTGAGATGGAAAATAATCAAGAGAGTCATGCACTTGCAGATAGACATACCCCAGTATATTTCACAAGTATGTTTTGTCTAATATAATGATCTCTTAAATGGCAGCTCACCTAGGTTGTACCACATGTCTCGGATCTCAAAGCCAATCTGTCGCCGCATGTCTTGATACCTATAAATAGAAATATGAAGATATCAGAGATTCATAAAGTTTAAAGTATACAATTATGCTCAAAGACCACAAAACATTTGTAAGAACGTCTCAAATTTATTCTCCTGGAATTGAGAAACATGTACGGCTTGCAAACCTTCATAATATTGAGAGAAGAATAAAAGCTGTTCAGAATCAACATCACATGGCCCAATCGGTGCTCTCATTTAAAGAAAGTGTGAAGTAAGCAGCATGGCGACAGATCCCTTATGCTTTACCTCCAGCGGCCTCAGCGGGCCTGACATCCATTCATTACCGCTGTCATTTGGGGACGCCTGTGGCCCTCGGCTGAATTCTGAGCCGCCATCGATTGCTTTGTCAATATGCTCTCATCCAGGCGTAATTTACGATGACAAGGACGAGGTGCGTCGGAGCTCAGTTAACACACAGTAAAGCCTCTCGCAACTCCTCTGAGTCTTACTTCTTTCAGTTTGACCCTCACAACTGACGTCTAATCATTTTTGTGACAGCTGCAGACCAGATGCATGCTAGCATGCTAAAGCACGTCACGTGACTCACCTCGAGTCTGACCAGGACATTATTCACCTAGAGTCTGCGATCTGAGACTCTGTGATCTGTGTTTTAATTGAACGCGATTCCAAGATGTGTTGTTATTCTGGTAGGCATGTCAACACTTTCACTCATTTTGAACTAAACTATTCAGCAAGAATTTAATACTTTTATTTAGCAAGGGTGCATTAAATTGATCAAAAAGACAGTAAAGTCACAGATAATGTATTTAAAATAAATGCTGTTCTCTTGAACTTTCTCTTGAAAGAAAAAGAAAATGGATTTTCAAAAACCATTAAGCGCTAAAACGGTTTTCAACACTGATATTAATCAGAAATGTTTCTTGAGCATCAAATCATCACATTAGAATGATTTCTGAAGGATCATGTGACAGTAATGATGAGTAATGATGCTGAAAATACAGCTTTGATCACAGGAATAAATGACATTTTTAAATATATTACAATGGAAAACGGATTGTAATAATATTTCACAATATTAGTGATTTTACTGTATTTTTGATCAAATAAATGGAGCCCTGGTAAGCAGAAGAGGCTTCTTTCAAAAAAACAAAAACAAAAAAAAAACCTTGGAGTCCTCGACATTTTTCATGGCAGCGCACACTAGAGCAAACATTACTTTTGTTTAATTCAGACAAAATGATTTCCTGTAGTAAATGACATTATGCTACAAATGCTGTGAACAGAGCATTCATGTAATAACACGCTCTCAGATGCAGAGAGTGAATATTTCTGCTCATACTCATCTCAAACACTTCATTTTCCCTGTCTGATCTCTCCTTTCACATCTTTGACCTGCTCTCTTAATTACTTCACCTTCTTCTGACTTCCTATGGCCTTCCTCACTTTCTCTTTCTCTATATAGGTCGGTCTGTTCTTGCTAAGCGCCACTCTATAATTTGTGTCTCTGGTGTCCGCAGTGACAGAATGAAAGAGACAGACAGCCGAGGGTGTGTGTGTCCTCACACTCATACAGAAGAGTAAGCTGAGCCTGTTAACACTCACACCTGCCAGCCCACGGGACGTTCACTGGAAAGAGATGCTAACATAATACAGCGACAGATGAAAAAGAGCGAGGGACTAGTGTTGCCTGCTAAAGCGCCTGCTCTCCTGCTTATACTTGAGGTATTGGACAAATCATATGTCATATCTATAGAACACCCTAAAAACCCGGGTAGCAACACCCTGCAACCACCCAGATCAACTAATCAACCATATAATTCAACAAAACACCATCAAACCCCCCAATCAACCAGCATGCAGTAGCGGAGATAGCGTGGGTGCTTGGGTGCGGCCGCCCCAGGGCCCCGCGCCAGTTAGGGGCCCCTCAAACGCCGCCGATCTCGCGTCACTGGACAGGAACGGGGCCCTCGCCAGCAGTGATGCTGGTAACTTTTTTCAGTAACGAGTAATGACGCGTTACTATTTCCAAACCAGTAATCAGATTAAAATTACTGATCCAAATTACTGTGCGTTACTATTTTTTGTCATTTTCTTTAGTAGAAATGATGGCTGATATGCAATATGAAACCGAAATGTGAGTGAGAAGGCAGAATCGCGACATAGTCCAACTCCCAGCGTTATCCTTCCCGTCCAGATCCAATGCTACCACATCTTTAAATTACTATTAGTAGGCTATTGTTTGAAGTTAACATTATAAAATACGTAGACCTACACTACACCACAAAACTAGTTGAGGATAATTTCTTTAAAATTGGGCAATTCCAGCGTTATGGACGTGATATTTGTTAAAAAAACTTGAAATGTAAATTCTCAGAAAATGCATTTAATACCAATATATTGAAACGTCTGTTTATCCTCCTTAATAAAGGAGTCCAGACTCTAGACATTAGAAAAATATCAGTCTACACATGCGTTTTATATTTAATATGAGGGAAATACACGGACGTGACACAAAAAAACTTTAACTTTTAGGTGGCAAAAGTACAAAAAGTAATACCCACCGGATGAAGAAGGGCTGGCTCTCCACAGAACAAAATATTCATTTTGTCTTATTTTTCGTGTTCGCATTTATGAGGGAAAAACATTGTTACGTGACAGTTCCCCTTTACGGACGTGAGCGCTCTGAAAGCGGCACTGAAAGACTGCTTTAAAACTTTCCCAGAGACATCAAACATAAAGTACAAACCCATTCATTAAGGCGAATTTCGTTTTTGTATTAATTGTATCTTAATTTTAATCAATGTTTCATCAACCAATTGCCTGGATTTAATAAATAAGAAGTAAATATAGCAGACAATAGATAATCGCGCCGGCGCGTGAACTGGAGCTCGTCTTGTGAGTCATAAATGAACCGAAACACAGAGTAGGCCTACTTGCCTCACACACCTGAGAAATATATCTATAGAAAGCTTGAAATGTGTACTTTTACAGAACAATTCAAAACGAAAGAAAACAGACTGTTCTCTGAAAAGAACGAGATAGCCTTTGTGTTTTATTTAACAAATAAGCTTACTTGGCTCAACAAGTGACACATTATTACATATGCATTCATCAGATATTTAACGTTTTTTTTTACGGTTTTAATTTTAAAAATGACTTGGTAGCAGAGGGCCCCATGATGAAGCTCCGCCCCCACTATACTAAGAGTCTAGCTCAGCCCCTGCCAGCATGGCACACCAAAAACATGTTCTCCAGTAAGTATTGTGTATTTCTTACATCTGTACTGAGTATGTGAGCTTTGGCCTGAATGCTCCTTTACTGTGATGCCAGTTTGGACTCAGAATGAGAAGAAAAGAGAAGAAAAAAGAAAGACTGAAGAGTCAGCAGCAGCAGCAGCCTCTCTGAGGTCAGCATGACACCTCCAGCAGAACACTGGGAGAATGGAGTGATGAAAGGTTGAGGGAAGGATGAAAGCTAAGGCTACGGCTCTGAAGGAATGAAACCATCACTCTGAAAGAGGCACAACGGGAGGTAAACAGCACAGAAGAACAAAGACAGGGTAGCTGAACAGATTGTTATAAAAAAATGAGACGCAGCATCCTTAAGACATCAGCACATTTTCTGATAAAAGCCCTCAAAATGCCAACTTTGGGTTTCTTCTTTTTTTTTTTTTTGGTAGAATTCCAGGACATGAAGTGTCATCAGGTTGAAATGCTGTCAGCAAGTAAACAAACTAAACTGCATTATAGCTGACAATGTGTTGAGCTTGTGCACTTTTATTTTTGTATGAGTTTGGTATTAAAATTAAAGAGATCGTTAACCCAAAAATGTCATCTGCTCATCTTTCTTTTGAGGACAAGCGGAATATTCAGATTTGACATTGTCAAATGTTATGGTTGATTACTAATAAATTACTTTTATTCATTTTAAAATATATGCTACTTTATTAAAAGTGGATGGATGGATGATGGATAAATAGAACGATTGATATATAGAATGGTAGAAAGAACAATAGAATGATAGATAGATAGAAAGATAGATAATGATAGATAGACAGATAGAGTGATAGATGGATGGATAGATAGATAGATAGATAGATAGATAGATAGATAGATAGATAGATAGATAGATAGATAGATAGATAGATAGATAGATAGATAGATAGATAGATAGATAGATAGATAGAGCAGCATGTACTTTTAAAGGGCAGGCATTTTTCTAGAGATGCTCTTTAAGGGTTAAATCTATCACTGTTTGTGCCAGATATAGATCTTAAAATAAGCACAAAAAATTTAATATCCATAATCAGCCATTAAATATTCAAAAACTGGATAAATGAAAAAGATTGCTGATATCATCCAATTGCCAATATATCGATACTATCTAATACCGTACAGGTCCCATTTATCTGCAAAATACTGTGTTGTGCTTCTTCAAATGATCTCATTTTAAAAATGTTCTGATGCAGAGATTGTTGGTTATTCATTTCTTACGAATTCGCCAAATCTGTGCAATTCACCCAAAACCCAAAAGCAAAACCGCCTCCCAGAAAGAGCTGTGTTTACTGACACCAGCTCTGCATGTCCTGAGAAAATGTGTGGTTTTGGAAACGTGTCCTCCCCGTGTTCCTGAGAGGCTGAAGAGTCCTGACAGACAGTGATCCGTCTCTACGAGAATGAGCTCACGCCACAGGCAAACACAGACAGACCGAAGCTCTTCACTCACTCCTGCTGTCTCTCCTTCTCCAACACTTTCCACAGTGATGCAGAACCTGTACATGTTTTCAGGAAAACACATTTCCTTCACCTTTCTCTGCCCCATATGCTTTCCGTATTTTATGCCTCCCTCCCTGTTCGGTCTTGTACTAATCTGGATAATGTTTAAATCTTTGCATTACAAGCACTTCACATGTTATTGCCTCGTTAAGAAGAATTGCTTGTTGTGTTCCTCATTTGTAAGTCACTTTGGATAAAAGCGTCCGCTAAATGAATAAATGCAACATGACAACACGGCTGTCTAACTCTCATCCGCACACTCGAAATACATCATATCTGACAAACAGAGGCCTTTTTTATATTCAAGCATCATAAACATATACTTTTTCATCTGTAGTTCTCCCTGTTGAGAGGTTAATGTTATACAATGTTGTAGCAGTGCATTGTGGGTAGGTGCATGTGATATTAATGCTTACTTGTGGAAGATCTTGGCCCGTTTATCACTTGAAAAGTTCTCAAGCTGCAAAGACTCCTGGGTAAGGAATGCCACAGCGAGGTGGAAGTAGTTATTCCACAACTGAGAGAAAAAAAAAAGGAAGGAAAGATATTATTTAACTTCAGTTCCTAATTGAAATAATTAGACTAAAGGGGCGTTCACACCAGGGATGATAACTATAATGATATCTACGTTTCAATAATCATCCTAATTCTAAGATAATAGGGAAGTACTCACTACAACTAATGATAACGAGACGGAGAAACAGCTAATGAACGATAAAAATAATGATTTATCTGGCTTTAAACGAGATTCAAGCATGTGGTACATGACATAACTGTGGCACACACTTATAATAAACAGAACCTTATCATGCTTTGGTGTGGATGTTAATATAGTTATTGTTCTTGGTGTGAAAAGCCCTTAAATCATCCTGCATTAAAGTGCCCCTATTATTCTTTTTTCCCCCAGATATTATCTTTCATATAGTGTGTAATATATCTATTTGTGTTATATATATCTAATCCAGTGGTTCTCAAACTTTTTCAGTCATTCCCCACTTTGGACAAGGGGGAATTTTCAAGCCCCACCTGCCCCCATCGCCCCAACACAATGCTAATGTGATACGTAACAAGCTTAAAATGTTCCAATTTATTGAAGTAACAAGTAGTATCAGTATAGTAACAAGTTGTATCTAAATACAAACTAACTATCTACATCAAATAACAGCAAGTTCAAAAATAAAGAAAATGAAGTGCATCTGTGTCATAACTTGCATGAAATTCAAAAATAGAGAAAATAAAAGTGCCTCAAAAATAGAAAAGAAATAAAAGTGCCACTTTGCAATCTGTTAAAAAAAGAAAAGAAGAGAAATCCATTTGGCAAGACAGGTCTATTTATCCCTGCATTAGTGACTGCAATGAGCCTGTTTTGCATTGCACAATTTCTCAAAGCAGGGTTGCAGGCTTGATACTGCCACTCTCAAATCATGTTCAATGTTCAGAGAAATTTCATGTCTTGTCGTAAGCCACAACATAATGACGTCACATATTTTCCAACCCAGCCCTCAGCCCCCACTTACGCATGAAACAGCTTCCAGCGCGCCTGGCTACCCATCGGCGTGATACATAGGCTACATATCTAGGGGCGCAAAAGTTTGTTCCACTACAATTAATATGCCGACGTCACGTCAATCATTATTTTGGGGGTGGGGAATTCCTGTTACTTGTTGTCGCCCCCGGGGGTGATCGATCTAATAAGCGGCAACACACAGCTATAAGGACGGTTTGCTCTCACACGCGCTGCATTAATAGTCACACACACACACACACACGCACGCGCGCGCAGTCACTCTCTACTCTAGTGCGCGGTCTTGCTCCAGATTCCGGGAGATTGGATCTCATTTGCAGGCGTCAAGGAGCCGCTATCAATATGCGGGAGACTCCCGGAACTTCCGGGACATTTGGGATGTCTGGATAAAGATATAAAGGCATAAAAAGGAAAATTTCCTCCCGTTTGGCGCGCCCCACCTGTCACGTCTCTATTCCCCACCAGTGGGGCGCGCCCCACACTTTGAGAACCGCTGATCTAATCTAAGTGATTCTGAACTGCCTGAAACGAGTCGTCAGTAATTCCAGTCTCACTTCCTGCTGAACCTGTGTATGTTTGTAACAAATTTGCATAATGCCAGCCTGTGGTCTTGATTGGCTGTTGGAGAACAGCGTCTGCTTTGTCCCGCCCTCAAACTCTGTAGTGTACCTGAGACTGGAAGAGTTTGGTTCGTGTTGTTTTCTGGTAAAACCAACTGTGTATCAAGTGCTGAGGAAGAGCTGAAATTCATATATGGTAAAGGGTGTTTAATTTCCGACATGGGCTGTAAGTGGTCGACCAATCACAACAGACAAGACCATCTGACCAATCAGAGCAGAGGAAGCTCTCAACAAGGAGGGGGTTTAGGAAGACCGTTTAGACACAGTAAGAAAAAGGTAATGCTGCTATGTATATTATGAGAAAATGTAAGTGTTTTTTTTACTTTGGATACATGTAAACTTATTGAAGGACCAAATTAGGAGCCTTTAACATAGCATAATAGGGGCACTTTAATATCATTACATATTCGAATAGAATTAGAAAATCCTTTCAATTAGACATCTACAAATGAGATTTCAGAAAGTTGATCATCCATGTCTGTAGGACAAATGATGACAGGTTATGCACACTAGATTAATAGTTATTGTGAAGGATTTGAAGTATGAGCAATAGTCACAGTGCACACAGCTAATTAAGCAGAAGAGCTGATGCCACTCACACAATCATTTCCAAAATAATTCATTGGCTTCTGAAAGCCAAAGTGTGCATCTCAGATGGTTTCACAGGTAAAATGAGAACTGAGATTAAGAATAACCATGAGCCAACAACCAGCGACAAGCAACACGAACACAATGCTCAGAGAAGAGCCGCTTCAAATATTCAAATCAGACACTCGGAAATTGCAGCCCATTAGCCTGTCATGAGTTATTCTGGTAGAAAGAAATTTAATGATCCCTGCTGGAACTTCCTCTAACACAAGCGGGCAGATAGTCACGATTAAAAGGTGTGCTTTTCAGAAACAAGACTATCCTCCGGTTTCACAGACAAAGCTTAAGCCTAGTCCAAGACTGAAATGCATGTTTGAGCTGTTTTAACTGGAAGTCTTCAAATATGTCAGTGCCATTGTTTTGTCTCAAGACACACACCAGTAATGTTCTTTCCTAAAGTAAAGGCCTAATCTAAGCCCTGTCTGTGAAACCAGGCCTATATGTTATTATTATCAGTGCTTTTTGGTAGCACTTTACTAGTCTAAATGCATTATAAATGTATCTTTCTAGTTCTTTCTTGCAATGAACACAAAAGGAGATTTAACATACAATGACAGTGAATGGGGGAAAAAAATCCAGTAACGCTTCCTTTTACAGTCCTGTTACCCATGTACATACTATATACTTATTATAGTAATTACAATTACTGGGTAATAACAAAGTCCTTTTAGGCAAGTCATGCCACTCGGCCGCCATCTTGGCAACGCCTCCGGGCAGCTATTTCGGACTAACAAGACCAGGCTCCTATCTAAATGAATGGGCAGAGACCCAGAACTGCACTTTCACTGGTCACCGGGACATAAAAACTGCATGTATACAAAACACTAATAAAATATGATAAAAATCGCTGAAAAAGTGTGATGACTTTGCCCCAAAATAAGGTTTAAAACGCCTTTTTCCCCACAGGTTATACTTTTACTGCGCATGCGCAAGGGTTCTCTCGCTCTCTGTCGTGCGCGCGCTACTGCTCGCTCGCTCTAGATTCCGGGAGATTTGAACTAATTTGCGGTCATCAGGGAGCCGCTATCAATCTGCGGGAGACTCCCGGAACTTCCGAGAGACTTGGGATGTCTGATATTTACACAACTAACACATCAAATCTGCCGCCTTTTCAAACAGTAACATATTTTCCGCTGTCGCAAACCTCAACTGTGCGCATGCGTCGGTGGAACCAGACGATAGGCTTAAATGTTTTCCGGCTTGACTGTTAAAAGCAGACGATTGGCTTTCCAGCGGGAGGGGCGGGGCATGTGCATACAACCGCCATCTTTGGCGTTACGGGTTTTCCCTATATAGTTGTATTAAGGATTGGGGAAGTGGCATGTCTCTATATAAATAGTCTCTGGTAATAACTAGGTACTAACCCAGAACCTACCCCTAACCCATGTACTTACCTTATATTAGCCAGTACTTTCTAGGTAATACACTGTAAGTACACGTAAGTACTGTACTGTAAAAGGAAGCGTTACCAAAAATCTCTTTCGTGTTCCAAGCAACAAAGTCAAACAGATTTGTTGTCTTTAAGTCTCACCTGCAGCTCAAAGTTGGTTTGATCGAGGAACTTCTTGCTGAGAACGGCGGCGTACTGATTGATGGCTCGCAGGAAGACTCTGAAATGAGAGAAAATCATGTCAGCCACTGTCCATTTCATGTTCTATTCATTCATTTTAATGTATTATCATATTTAAATGAGCGTGTTTGTTCTTAACAACAGCCTGTAGAACATGAAGCATTAAAACAGCTAGTTAACCTCAGAATAATGTCATTCCTGATGCGATCCCTCGCACATCGAGACGCAGAACTAAAACACCATTCAGCTTGAGGCGAGGAAGCACATAAACTTCAGATGATAAACTTAATCACAGGTCTTTAACTCCGCCACACTGAGACGACATTAGGAGGATATTAGAGAGACTTAAAGACGCTTTGTTCAATAAAGGCCGTCACTAATGAACTATGAGAGAGAACAAGAAATCTTTATCTACTTCTCTAGCTGTGTCACTGCTGAAGATGAAAAAAAAGAAAAGAAAGAATGAAAAGAAGAAAATGCAAATGTGTTGGACGTCCAGGACAGGCAGACTCAAATCACTGCAAAATCACACTTGGCAATCAAATCAAGACGAATAGACTCAAAGCAGCGGACGTCAAAGAGAACATTTCACGTCTGTAATGTGACATTGTGAGTAGTTCAGTAAACCCTCACTGCTCTCTACATTTTGCAATGTAGATAATTTAATTACTAATGCCTAACAGAATGTAGCAGTCTCAAGACGTATAACATGAATAGTACACATCTTTTAAATAACATGCAAAAGACTAGGATCATGCATCAAGGAATTAAACCATTGAATAAAAATAAAATATATAAATCCAATATATACAGCAATTTTCTACAACATAAATCAAATACAAACACATTTTTTTAACATTAAAGACAATTAACATTAGATGATGGCAGCTGAAAAGGAAGATGATTTTATACGTATGTATACATATGTCCAACATTATCAAACGGTCATGTGACAGCAGTTGAGAAATATCAGCCAATGCTTCAGTATCAAGTGTCAAAAGTCACCAGCTGAAGTAGATCTGACAAGTTTCTCATTATTAATTTCCAACATGAAAGACCGAGCAGCGATGTTAATGTCTGACCCCTCATGTGTGAGCGTCTGTCAGATGTTTGACATCTCATTAGCACGACTAGATATCAGCGACTGAATTGTAAGTCATCTTAAAAGGCTCTGGCTGTGTAAACGCATCAGAACCCTTATTAATCATCCTCTAATCTCGAGCGGGGCGGCGCAATACGAGCCGAATGAATTTCTGATTGACTAAGATAAACAGTGTGAGCTCGACGCCATTGAGCGAGCGCTAGCGTCACGGCACAGATCTGCAGGACGTCTGCTCTGAGCTCTGACTCCTCCATTGTAACGGAGAGATGGAGCGTTTCTCATCAGGGCCAACAGATTCAATCTGTTTATAATGAGCTGCTGAAAAATTGCTCCTTAATGTGACTGGAGACATTAATAATGCAAGTGAGCTTTACTAAATCAACAGATGGACAGACAGACTGACGACAGACTAAAACTTTAGTCACAGTGGATGGCATATTTAATCTGACACACATGAAAATGAGGCTGTGGAGAAAAGCAGCGTCACGAGATAGAAATGCAGCACTAGCTCATAACCTACACAGAGTTTCATTGATTCAACTATTCCGTTCTACAGTCAAAAACACATTTTATGTCAGAATGATAGATTGCTCAGTGCAGTGCCTGCCATTATAGCACAAATCACCTATATAGTGAACTGTGTATTTTTTTAAATATCATTTCCATTTCAGTTTAATATGCAGAAACAACTAGAAGGAAGCCAACAATAAGTCCAAGTGTAATATTGTAGGACTGAGTGGCATTAAACATCCCAACACCATCAACCGTTGGAGCTCTGTATGCCAATCAAACACTTCTGTACAAAAGTTTGAGGTCAGTACCTTTTTTTTTTTTATGTTTTTGAAAGAAACCGTCTCTTCTGCTCACCAAAGCTGCATTTATTTGATCAAAAATACAGTAAAAACTTTAATATTTTGAAATATTATTACTTTCTGAATATATTGTAAAGCATAATTTATTCCTGTGATCAAAGCTGTATGTTCAGCATCATTACTCCAGTCTTCAGTGTCACATGATCCTTCAGAAAACATCCTAATATGATGATTTGCTGCTCAATAAACATTTCCGATCATTATCAAAGTTGAAAACAGTTGTGCTGCTTCATATTTTTGTGGAAACGGTGCTAAATGTGATTATGAAATTGAAATCGTTTGATTAAATTAATGCATCCTTGCAGATTAAAACAAACAAAAACAAAAAAAAATCCACGTTTTACAGTTGCTATTTCACCTAAATGAAAATGCACTTCTGCTCGCTAGGACAAACACTTTGAAGCGAGCAAACCCTGAGCCGGAGACGTCCTGTAGGAGACGGGCAGAGAGGAGATTTGAGCCGTAAGCTGCAGGATCAGGACAGACTGCTACAGATGAACAGTAGATGTGTTTTCTAGTCTACTGAACACTAAAGATTTACTGCATCTATGACCTTACAGAACATCAGGCCATGCTATTCTAAATCACATCTGGGGGGAAAACAGCCATACGGTTCAGGAAAGATGACAATTTTCAGTTTTGGTTGAACTATTGCTTTAACTCATGGGACTCATTAAAAATATTTAACACAGTTTATGCATTTGCATTGTTTGCCATTTCAACCATTTCATAGACACCTCCATCAAAGATGTCTGCAAATGACAGTAAATGATGAAGAAACACTTACTGACAAATTTTAGGCTATTTTTAAATCAAAATCATGTGGGGCTTTACACAGAAGTTTAAATACGGCTTCAAATGTGGCTCATCAAGTCAGAATTTAGTGGCAAATTTTGAGTTTCATTCATTCCTTTTGACTACGCTCTCAGAAAAAAGGGTACAAAAGCTATCACTGGTGCAGTACCTTTTCAAAAGGTACACTTTTATACCTAAAGGCCGCATATTAGTACCTAAGAGGAAATTGTACCTTTTGAAAAAGTGCCGCCCCAGTGACAGCTTTTGTACCCTGTTTACTGAGAGTGTACTAAATCAACAATGCAAGAAAAACACCACCAGCACATTGTGTTTGTCTCTAACACAGCCATCCACATTAGACAACCCTTAAACAGTTTCCCCTCTATAAGAGCATCAGAAGAGCAAACAGCTGTGTAAGACAGTTACAGACGATTCCTCTAATGCCGCAGCTGCTCAATAGAAGGCCGTGAGGTCAAACGAATCCCACTTTTAATGATTCCTACATCCCTCGCGCGCTCTACCCTTTAATACCACTGGCGCGGGTAATCGATGCATGGAGACGCAGTCTTGTGAGTCAAATGCAAACAGCAGTCGTGCTCTGATCTCCGGAAATCTATCTGGGATGCAAACGGAGCAAAGACACGACATTTCAACTGAGTGTCTGCCTCATTTTCACCAAGAGCCCGACATCCCCTCACAATTAAAGCCGATCTCTCTGTACGCCCGGCCACGGCAGGGCAAACACGCTTTAACACACGTCGCTCATTGCTGCTAATGCAGATTCAGTAACAGATGCATGCGTGTTTGTGTTGTATTCAGATGCAGTCGTTCGTTCTAATGACTGGACTGATGATCCATGAAACTCATAGCAATTTTGCTGCATTAGAGGATTGAAAAAAAAAAAACATCCATTACTAGATCTTCCTAGCAGTGGCAGAAAACTGAGGAAAAGCCGCTGTATACACACACACAATGTGTATACACTCTAAAAAATGCTGGGTTGTTTTAACCCAATTTTGGGTCAAATATGGACAAACCCAGCTGTTGGGTTAAATTTATAAATTAAACCCAGCTGTTGGGTTAAATTTATAAATTGCCTTTTTTAATCCAACAATTGGGTTTGTCCATATTTGACCCAAAATTGGGTTAAAACAACCCAGCATTTTTTTTAGAGTGTATGTGTGAATGAAAATGAATATTATTATATTATAATATGAATATATTATATTGAAACATTATCTAATATATTGTTATAATACATTGCTTTTAATTTTCTGTCTTCTCTTGACGAGAAAGATACAGATACAGAAAGAGGATTATGTCTGGCCGCTGTGGGCTTCCGTATGTGCCGTTATGATTTGAAATCTCAGTTCTGTTCTAGGATACGGCCCTCATCTTGTGAATTAATCAGCACTGCATATTTATGCACATGATTTCTCACAGCTTCAGTCCAAATGGAAATCTGTGCACACGCGGCAGTTGAAACGTCGCCCATTCGTTTAACTCTAATTGAAGAAATCTCAAACTCGGTGGGATCTGATTAACGTTTAAAGCATGTCTACATTTCCTTCCCAACAGAGGTCCGAACAATCAAAACTTAGACTGCTCCACAAGTTAATACGTTGCAGGAAATTAAAATTAAATTAGCAATGTGCACTTGAGTAATATTTAGTGTAAATGGTTGCATTTGGCTGTAATAGATAGTACACAATAGAATAAATAATAAATAAATCATGAACAGTCAAAGTATTCTATCCAAAACTGCTGCGTTGCGCAGTACAGATTCATATATTATTAACTCAATTCCATTCAAATGTAATTGTGTAGCACTTTTCCCCATACACATCACTCCAAAACAGTTCTACAGAGAATAGAGCCTTACACACACACACTGAGCAAGTCAAAGGTGACTACACTGAAGCCGGAGTCTGCCTTTCTTTTTTCTTACACTTAGTGCAACAGTTCTGCTTTGTTTAGAATACATATTTAAATGTGCAAAATGGAGCGAAAACAATATTGACAATATTGCGTCTAACTTTTTGTTTATTGAACTGATGTATAAAATCAGTCACACTTGCAATTCGGAAAAACAGCACGATATGGCTCAGGCCATATTGATAAACAATATCATGTTATAATTATAAGAATTTGCAATGACGTTGCTGTTAATGGAGGGACAGAAAAAGATGAACGAAGGTCTTATGGGTTTGGAACGACACGAGGGTGAGTAATTACTGACAGAATGTACAATGTACTGTCCCTTTAAGGCAG